GAAGTCACCAGCCTTCGGACGTTTCCGCCGTCTGGTCCGGGGTGTGACACCATGGGGTTCCGGTCTCTATCATCTCAGATCGTGATGTTCGGTTTACCTCCCGATTTTGGCAGAAGCTCCACGAGGAACTGGGCACACGACTACATTTCAGTACAGCCTATCATCCGCAGACGGACGACCAGAGTGAGCGGACGATACATACTCTTGATGATATGTTGAGAGCCTGCATTATTGACTTCGGTGGGAGCTGGGACTCCTACCTACCACTTGCAGAGTTCTCCTACAACAACAGCTTTCACTCCAGCATTAGTGCTCCACCGTATGAGCTGTTATATGGGCGGAGGTGCCGCACACCAGTCTGTTGGGGTGAGGTGGGTCACAAGGTGATGGGTCGGACCGAGGTAGTCCTACAGACTACCGATATGATTCAACAGATTAGACAACGGCTGCAGACCGCACGGAGTCGGCAGAAGAGCTACGCCGACCGACGCCGATCTGAGTTAGAGTTTCAGGTCGGTGATATGGTACTTCTGAAGGTCTCACCCTGGAAGGGTGTGATCCGCTTCAGGAAGAGGGGGAAATTGGGTTCCCGTTACATTGGACCGTTCAGGATCATTTCCAGGGTTGGCAAGGTGGCTTATAGGCTAGAGCTACCGGAGGAACTTAGTCGGATCCACAACACTTTCCACGTTTCACAGTTGCGAAAGTGCATTATGGATCGGGAGGTAGTGGTGTCGTTGGATGATATTCAGGCCGATGAGCGCCTGAATTACGTGGAGAAGCCTGTGGCCATACTGGAGAGGAAGATGAAAGTTCTGCGGAACAAGGATATACCTCTGTTGAAGGTACAGTGGGAGCATCGGAGGGGGTCCGAGTGGACGTGGGAGACGGAGGCAGGGATGCGGGAGCACTATCCGGAACTGTTCACCGCGGCAGACTTCGAGGACGAAGTCTAGCTCAAGTGGGGGAGAACTGTAACGCCCCGATTCTCAGGTATTGATTTTTTATATAAGATTTTCTTGATTTCAAGGTCTACTCGACGGGTTGGTTGCCTTACTCGTCGAGTAGCAGCGGGTTGGTCCACGTGTTTTAGTGACCTACTCGCCGAGTCCGAGAAGGGACTCGACGAGTAGGAGTTGGCAGATGAAACCCTAAATTTCGGGGTTTTGCATCCTATTTAAAGGATCATTGGCCTCCCCCAACCTCCCCTTTACAGCCCCTTGACACTCTAAAACCCTAAATCGTGTGTGTGCTTCATTGGTGTGTTTAAGCTTGGAAGAAGGATCTTGGTGAGGAAAAACTTGGGGAAACAAGTGGATTGAAGCAAGGAACTCGTGGGAATCAAGATCTACTTCAGTTGACATCTTTTGGGAAGGTATTAAGTTGTTATCTTAACCCCATTTCATTCTAGATCTCTTTTGGGTGAATTTTAGGGCTTTTCTAGCATAATAAGAAGCCATTCTTGGGTCCAGATAGGCTGAAGGCCCCGAGGAGGGCGGTCCGAACGTGCCGAAGGCTCAGAGAGCGGTCCAGATAGACTGAGGACCGGGATTCGGTCCAGTCAGACTGATGGCTCATTATGCATGCTGTTTGCTTATATGTTTATATGATATGGTTATATATGTATGGCGTTGGTATTTTGGGGGTAAATCACTAAGCCTTCGAGCTTACATTTATCGATTATTGTTTCAGGTACTTCTGATGATCGCAGGAAGGCGAAGGCATGATCGTACCGCTCCTCACACGTTATGATTTTATGTTTTGATTTTGGGATACTTTGACTATATACTATATTAAAAACAAGTTTGTAATAATCATGAGTTTTGAAATGTTTTAAAATGTTTAAATTTGGCATGATTTTTATGGATGTTACAATAGGGATGAGATTGATGGTTAAAGTTTCATTTGTAACATAGATGATGTTGGTAGAATAAGAGTATATTAGAATTATCATTTACAATAAAAATAAAAATAACATTAATAATGCACTTGTGATTATTAACATCACAAAGTGATCGATGAAACTCACTTGATGTTTTTTTTCTTTTATTCCATAATTTTTATACAACTTGTTGATTTTATTCATTTTACTTTTTATTCATGCCAATTGGATATTTTTAACAAAATATATTTGTTGTTACTAGTATATCTATTGAGATTCACTTAGGTATTGTTTGTTTTTTCGAAATGAAATTCATAATCTGTGCGAATCACCTCTGCAACCATCTGAAGCAGAAGAGAAGACCAAACGGTTGCAGCTTATAATAAAAAACATGTTTGTTTCTTAAAATCTGCAGACTGCTATAGTAGACTAAAATTTAAATAAATTATTTTTATAAACTGAAAATAGTTTTCAACACCATTTTAATAATTCTAGTCTTAAAACATTGAAAGAATACCAAAAAGAACATGTAAAAAAACAAAAATATAAAATAAAAAAAATATAAAAAATATAAAAGAAGCTATTAGTTTTATTCTAGAAAAAAATTAATTTAAAAAAACATTAAAAAAATAATTATAAAAAAAATAAGAAAATATTTCAAACGATGTCTACAAAGTTCATAAAAGAATTACACATGTTAAAAAAGATACAACCAAACCTGAAAATATTATTAACAGAAACTGTAAAAAAATTAAAAAAATCAAAGTCTTTTTTTTTTCAAAAAAAAATCAAGTTAAAAAAAATTATGGAAACTATAAAAAGAAATTGTATCAAATCCGTAAATCAAAGTTTAAGAAAAAAAAATCAAATTAAAAAAAAAAGTTATACCAAAATTCTAAAAAAATTCACTTGAAAAAAATGAAAGCTGAAGAGGTTTGAAGAGGCAAGTCAAGTGCTACGCCGCGCAGAACACACGTAGAGATTTTATAGTCTGAAGCCTTCAAAAAATAAACTGCTGCGAGATGACAAGTGTTGTGCCACGCAACAAATATTGGTATGGAGATTTTTTTTTAAAAGCACCTTACTAATTCTTTAAAGATGACCATGATAATCACATTGAAATACTTAAAAGATATGTATGAAATTATATGGATGCTTACTCTTATATTTATTCATGTATTAGGCATCAGAATAGATATTAATTTGCTCAAGTTGAATCCAATATCAATAATTTTTTTTTGTGGATTGCTATTCCAAAAAAGAACTTATAAAATTATAGAAAAAACTCATTATTGTAATTAAAGTAACTCTAACTACAAAAAGGTTATTTGGTCTCTAGTAAGACATAGGTCATGAGTTCGAACCTGCTTATTAGCATTCTTTTAATTTCTTTTATAGTCCCGTCAAAAAAGAAAAACTAATAAACATTGGGAGGAATTTTTTAGAGTAAAATCAACATCTAGTCATTTAGGGTAAAACTATAAATTTTTTTAGCAATTAAGAGCATCTCCAATGGTAAATTTTTTATAAGATATTATTATTGACCTTTATTTTTTTTATAACTTATTACCATTGGAGGTTAGAACTTATTTGTTTTTTTATTAACCACTCAATATATATTGAGTGGTCAATATACTTCTATACTTTGTCACTTACCCCCTCATACTTTAGTTATATTTCATTTACATTCCTAAATATATTTTATTTTTAAATATTTTTTTTATTTATTTACTATTTAATTATTTATATTAAATATCTAATGCCATTTCTTTCTATGAAATATAAAATTATAATGATTATATAATTTTTTTTCAATATTTTTTATTACTATTTCATAATAGTTTTTTCGTATTAATTTTTCCGAACGATATGTTGCAATATATTTATTTTGAAACAATGTATTATAATACTTTTAATAAAATTAAAATACAACGTGTGTTTAAAAAACGAATAATTAAATAAGGGGGTTTTATAGAACATTTTAGATAGATATGGATAAATTAGTTAAAATTTTATAAAAAAAACTATTTGAAAAGGTTAACTTGGTTATTTAGTTATAGGTTAATTTATTATATTGATGATGTGACAATAGTTTTAAGTCCTAATATGACTTAACCATTGAAGATGCTCTAAGGGTATTTATGATTTTCACATGAAGTAAACCTAAAAACCGATCTACTATAAGAAATGAAGATAATTTTGCTACATGTCCTTCTATAATAAGTTTTTATACTTGTCATTTTGTGATATTTTTTCAATAAATAATATCCACATGTCAATTTATAGTTTTTTTTTTCAATTTTTAAAATAAAAAAGCCACATAATACTTCTACCCTAATAAATAAGAATGATTTTGTCACACGTCCTTTTCTCCTTCATTTTGACACTTGTCATTTTCTAGATTTTTTTGAATTATTTAATATCTACTTGTCATTTTTATAGTTTTTTTCTTTTTTATTCAAATTTCACCTACTAAATGTCACTTCATATTAATTAATTTTATTAATATATTTATTAATGTACATAATAACTTTTTATTTGTGAATTCCTTTTTCTATTAATATGTTAATTAATGTATATGTATATTAATGTAGATAATACATTCCGTTTGTGAATTCATATTAATTAATTTTATTAGTATAGATTAATTAAGACCAAATTACATAAATGGTCAATGTGGTTTACCAAATGTCACAAACTCAGTCGTTACTTATTTTTTTATTTGCACACCGTTACTTTTGGTCCTTTTAATAAACCTGTGTAATACACGGGTCTCACACTTAGTACTTATATATGTAAAGTATCAAATGTAATAAATATTATACTAAATTGCAATTAATATGTTTTTTCATTCCTTATTTCAATTTTTTTTTTAATATTTATTATTTATATTTTAATATTTTTTAATAAACCCGTGTAATACACGGGTTTTACACCTACTAAAGAAATAAATAAAAATGATAAAGCTAGTAAGTAGAACGGAGATTATGAGGTAAAAAAAAAATAGTAAAACCAATAAAATTATGTAAACGATTTTTATGTTATTTTTCCAACAATATTTTGTTAAATGCACACGTTAAGGTAAATTTATAAAGAAATCTTTTATCGGAAACGTTCAGGGGACATTACAAGATTCAAATTTTCAACCTTCCCGCTAAGCCTCTGCGCCACCGTCATCGGCAGCTACACAGACGATCTTTGCTCGGCGGTAATCCTAAAAGGTCTCTCTATCTCTCTCTTAACTAGGGTGTGACTTAGACTTTGGAAAGTCCTTTTGATCTATAAACGATGCATTGTATTAGGCTGTGCACTTTTCTAGCCCTAAACCTCTAATTTTAGGGCTGCGTCTAGGTCTTTGTTCGAATTATGGATTCAGTTGTCGCTACGGTTAGTGGATACCACGGATCTGAGCGATTTAAACTTATCAAATTAATATCTCAATCTGGTGCAAGTTATGTTGGAGCAATGAATCCCTCTACCACGCATTTGGTATGTTTTTCATATTCGAAGCTTTGCATATTTTTAGATCATTTTTAGTAATTCATGTAATCATAGTGATACTAAACCTAAAAGATTGTATATTTCCGGTTGCTTGTTTAGATGTGTCGCAAATTTGAGGGGAAGAAATATGAACTTGCCAGGAAATTTAAGATAATCGTGGTGAATCATCGATGGATTGAGGACTGTATAAAACAAGGCAGGCGAGTTTCTGAGCGTCCCTATATGAAACGCTGGTATGATTGCCATTTACCAAAGCCTTTTTTTCTTCTGTTGTGAAGCTTGTAAAAGAAGTTTAATTGTTTGATTGCACTAATAGAGTGTGTTCCTAACTCTAGTTTCACCAGTGTAACTTTGGGTAGAACAAGCTCATCATCCACTTTACTAATGTGCAACTCATAAGTTATACCCTCAATGAAAATGAAATGTGTAATCCCACTTGTCCTCCATTTGATTTCATAATTTTGCAGTGGGTTTGAGGTGGGGCCCTTGCTGTTGGAGGCCCCAGTTGTTGCTAATGAAGTAAGAAGTGTATTTGGAGAGGTACCTACCACCAGCAACTTCTCAAAAAAACCTGTGATTAACATTGAAGATGGTGAAAGTGGCGATGATGATTGGAAAGATTCTTGGTTGTTGAAAGAGGTTAGATGTGATCTCTTAACTGCTTCTGAAATATGAGAATCTTTATGTTTGTACTCTCTATTAATCTATTGCCAAAGCTTAATTACCTCAGATGGTGTTTTAAGTCATGAAACTTATTACTAGGATATGCACCTTATCTTTTCTTTCCTACTTTCTGCATTAGGGTTTCTCCCCTAACAATTTCTGCATGTTGTTTTCAATGTAGAACCTGCTTCCTGATGTGAGACAAAATAAGATCGGTTCTAATAGATTAAAGAGAAAATGTACTAAGAGACAAAATAAGGACTGTTCTGAATCCTCCAAAGGAAGTCATAGACTGATTTTTAAGAATATATGTAATGAGCTCAATTCTTGTTCAGATTCAGAGGAAAATTCCCAACACACAGAAATTCACCACAATGCTGTTGACATCGGCGAGCCTTCTAATTCTTCTGGGAGGCAAAAAAGCAGAAGACTTTTCAGAAAAACTTTCCAAGATCATGAGAAAAGACCTTTAATCTTGGAGGATCTTGAAAAGTTTGAAGATTTGGGGACTTGTAATCTTCAAGATCCAGACTCTAACACAAGGAATCCTGTAAATAACTCTTCAGAAGTTGATGATGATAAATGTAATGGAAGGAAATTATCTACACCACCACAGCAGTTATCATGTGTTATATGCTGGACAGATTTTAGTTCAACCAGAGGGGTTCTGCCATGTGGACATCGCTTTTGTTTTTCATGCATACAGAATTGGGCAGATCATATGGTATCTATAATTTTATCCTTTTTACCATATTTTAAATTATGTTTATATTCATTTCAACTTATTGCTTACAGGCGTCTATGAAAAAGGTTTCCACATGTCCTTTGTGTAAGGCCAGTTTTTACAGCATACAGAAGATGGAAGATGCTTTATCTTCTGATCAGAAAATATACTCTCAAACAGTTCCCAATGAGAATGCCTCCATGGATGTATACATTCTTCCACATGCAGAAGCATCCACATTTCATACTTTGGTAAATCTTCATCGTAAAATTCATGTCATATTATTTATTAGTTTTGTTCATAACTGAATTTGGTTTTTTACTTTTTATTTTTGTTGAACAGGGATCAATACCATCAACACCAGTTTGCTACCAGTGTGGTTGTGTTGAACCTGAGGAGCTTTTAGTGAGATGTGATAGTTGTCATATACGTTGTGTTCATTCTTATTGCTTGGATCCTCCACAATTTCCATGGGTATGCATTCAGTGTAAGGATCTTCGTATGCGATATTTCCGTTAAATTTTAGGAACTGTTACTTTAAAATTGAAACTCAAAACATAAAGAAAGCAAACTGGGTTTTCTGTTTTTATACGATTCGTTTAAGTCTTTCTCTTGTTAAAGAAAGGTGGTGGGGATACTTGTTTTAAAAAAAAAACGAAGCTGTAATGGGGTAACTTTGAAGTTTTCTACATGTTTAAAAGATAGCTATATATGTAGTCAATCATTTGAAGTATACTTAAGATGCTATATATAAAACCGAATCCACCTATTATGATATATATATATATATATATATATATATATATATATATATATATATATATATATATATATAGTATTATGAGATTCACATGTCATATATTATAGGTTATTTTTTTTTATAACTATACAATCTTTATCCACATTTTTGTATTCACAAAATTTAAAAATGTAATATGCAATAATCAAAATGCTTAAGCTAACGTCGCATCTTAAGGCACTATTGTTCTGATATTATTTTAGTACGATCTCAACTCCAAAATTACAGATTGGCTAAATAATATTTGGAATAAATTAAAACCAAGTTGTCCTCTAATTTATATATTTTGCTTTCTTTATATGAGAGAGACAAGTTATTCTAAATCCATCTGCTTATTTTCTCGTTATGTTATTAATTAACTAGATTATGACCCGCTTTAAACGCGTGCAACATAAATTAAATACATATCACATTAATTTGTGGTTGTCTTAGGTGTAATTTTAATAAAAAAATGTTAGTTAGATTCATTTTTAGAGTTTTTGAACCAAACTCATTAAATAAAAATATTTAATATTTATATTAGAGCAAATTTGGTTTTTTAATACAGTAATTTTTAACAAAAATGATCTTACGTGATCTTTGTTTTATCACAACATAATGCAACTTCTTGATTAAAACAGGTTGTATAGTAGCTTTATGAATTGACTTTGTTCGGTGTACCAACTTCCATTGAGGCTCATATGGTTATTTTCATATTGACCCTATAAAACCAAAAGCAACAATAAGTTGTTATATGTACCAACAACGTTAAATTCTACAAAGAAATTAGATAAACATTACAAATAAAGTGAATTGCCATAATCGTAAACATTAAATTCAGACATTGTAATTTGGTCAATTTCTAAAGTATTTTTTCATTATAAAAATTAAAATATGATTTTCAGGCTACACCCAATCACATATATATATATCTTCCGATCAAAGAAATTATTACAAAAAAAAAAAAAACATTTTATGAACAAAATTATAATATTAGTTTCATAATTTGTCAAAGGTTAACACTAATAAATAATAATAAACTTTCACAAATCTTGCATTTTGGTCACTACATCCAACTAACAAATGAAATTCAGTTTAGAGGATTGATTCAAGAAGTGTATTAATGACTTCTTGTAGCTGAATTTAGGGAAATGCTAATACCTATTAAGATATGAGGGAACGGTCTGTGAAGCTACGATTGGTTTATAAAGGGCAATACAAATTGAAAATCGTTAGCACATACCTTTCCTACCTGCTTCAATTATCAAATTTAGATTAAACTTGTCAAAATCAAATTAAAAAAAAATTGATATGTAACCTAGCAATCAAACAACATATTTTTCATAGAAATAAATATCACAAATCTACAATTTACACTTCATATAATATTCTTAAATTATATATTACATTTTCATCTTTAATGGTCACTAAAACCTCTTTCTGTCTTATTGTTGTGACACGCATCTACATCGAAAATAAGAGAAAGAATTATAAAGAACGAATATTGACAGAGTGATCCTTCATTGAAAACACAACAAATTTTTTCATAGAGCCATTAGGATTCTTCTATAGATCGCTAGAAGGTCTCTATAATGACAACCAGTGTGGCATCCATGAGAACGCACCACTTGAAGTAATAGTTTTGCTTAATGTAAGTGAAAAATCATTTAGAATGCTTACCAGATGTGATTGTTTCCACTTGGATGTGAACATTAACATTCGTGTAGAGAAATTGAACTTCAAATGAACCCTGCATAGTCAAATCAACAAACATGACAACACAAAAAGAAGCCAAACTTGACATATAACAAAATTTCCAACAAATTTCAAAATTTTAAGGTTTCGCTGAACAATTTTTTCAATTTATCATAATTTTATTTTATTACAACCCTATATGAGTAAGCAAAAATCATGAAAATCATATATTATTTTTCTTTCTTTAGAATTAACAGTTTTTGCTTGCCTTCTCCGGAAGTACGATCTATCATTTATGTTGATGATCTTTTGGTTGAGGACATTGTTGCCAGATTATCAACATCGTAAACATCTTCCAGGTTGTGTTTTAATTCTTCATGTCTAAATACTTTTTTAAAGGATGTCTACTTAGTTTGTGGACTTGCTGCAGTACTTTTATCAAGATTCGAAGCGGGTGTGATGTTATCACCAGTAAACGAAACAACATCCTAAATATAGAAAATAAATTCATATGTCAATCTAAAAGTTAATAATATTTTAAAATATTAGATTTGGTTATATTATATTTAAACCCTTTAAATTTAATGTGTCTTGAAATCCGAATTTTGCCGATAAAACGTTAAAAGAATCGGATTATGGCCCATATATTTGTAGTACATAGAAATATGTTAGTTGATCAACTGAAATATAAAAACAAAATTAAATAAGTGTGGTGCCTGTAGTATTTTTCGTAAAAGAATGTTACCTGTTTGATGTTAAAAAAATTCCAATTCAACAATGATTGTATTATCAACATTGAAGTTTGAGATTGCATAACCATCAACTTTGTTCTTCAAATTATAATGTGAAATTTAAATTTTGAACGCCAACTTTTTATCCAAAAGTAAATTCAAAGGAGATGGATAAATCTTCATATTACACTCCTAAAAAAATGAACGGTTATAAAATTAGATAGACAAAAAGTAAAAATTAGTTTTATGTAAATGAAGTTAATATCGATAACCTTTTGAAGCAAGTCTTGTGTGGTTTTTTTTCCAGAAGTTTCTTTGCGTCACGATCAAATAACGTAAGTGACACCATATCGGTAAAGTCTTGTACTTTAATGGTGATTTTGAAACTAAAACCATTGATATAAACAAAATCAATAATATAACATTAGAAATTTTAACCAAAGATTATAATAAAATATGTATAAAAGAGTTATTGAAAACCTTGGAACAACAAATATGTCTTTGTTAATGCAAGTTGAAGTGTAACAATAAAAGACTTCTTTATCTTGCTTTTGGTCCGTTCCACCAATTTTGTCATCATGCATTAAAACGGCTTTTATGGCTTTATCTTGACAAACATAGGTCAACACATTTAAATATCGATATAAATGATATAATTTTGTTTCTGTGACAAAATGAATGAAACTAATATGCTTAAAGTAGATTGATTAATTTTTTTCATGACCTATCAACAAGAACACATTAACAACAGGTAATAAGAACAGAGTAAATGCAAGAAATTGGAGAAGAATAAGGAGAACAGAGTAAAGAAAGAACCTGAAAAAAAGGAATTGAAGAAGAAGATCGCTGAAGAAAAACATTGTAAATCGTAGGACTCAATCCAAAATCGTAAGAATAATAACTTCAATGTACCGTATATATAGGGTGTTTTTAAATAAGGAAATCATTGTCTTCAAAAATTGGGATCCTAAGATATCATCTTGGAGATTTTCGGCTATTCATCTGGAAAAAAAAGAAAGATATCGGTTATATTAATTCAAATTTCAAATTAATTGACTTGCTTATGTAATGAGTTTTAAAATTCAAACCATTATCTCAAATTGATTCATTTTATGTGGGATATACTGGGAGATAATTTATTAATAATATTAACTTTAATTTTGATTCTAAAATATTTTGCTGATTTAATGGGATTAAATTAGATTTTATAAGTTAACAACTGAATTATTGATATGCTTATTTAATGAGTTTTTTTTAAAAAAAAAGGTTTGAATTTTGAAACCAAAAGCTATAAATAAGGGAGTTAATTAGGAACAATATTAATTACAAAAACTGATATCATGTATATAAATAAAATGATATGCTTCAATTGATAAAATTATTGCTGAATTTAAAGATTCTATAATTAATAAAGATTCTATAATTAAATGTAATTGTGTTTGAATTCTATTTGGGGAAGATGATGTCAGCAATTTGATCTAACGGTGGAAAACATATGATTAAAACGCAATCAAGGGCCTTGATTGCTTCATTGGTAAATTAAAGGTTCTCTTTTAATAATATTTAGAGATACGATATTATGGTAAGAAAGGTTACAGTCTTTCCGCTTTGTGCATATGATACACCGACTCACAATCACTCACCGGTGGCCAATGGGAAGTTCCATCTAAAGATCTTCCAGGTTGTCCACTTAGACGGTGTTTGTTTTCTTAAAAAAAAATCTTTTTGAGTGTGCGGAAACATTTATACTAAAAGGAAATCAAATATTATTATATTTTTTTTTCTTTCTGTTATCTTCTTATACATTTAGGATTGTGACACCTGTAATATTTAATCAAATTAATAAAATTTTATTATATTTGTCAACATTTAAAAATGATAAGAGGAAGGATAAAAAAATAAATGGGAGCATAGTTTATTTCTCTTATCAAAACTTGTTTGTTTTTTAGAATAAAAACATATATTTTGTCTTCTTTTTGCACAAAAAAAAAAGAAACAGCTTTTAAAGTTAAAAGACACTTCTAACCTTAAGTTTTTAAAGTTTGTCCTCTATTTCTATTTGTTATATATATATTTTTTGTCTTTTTCCATTTTGTTTGTTTTTTTTCTTGTTTCCCAATGTTAAACTAATAATTAGTTCAAATTATTTAAAACATATAAATTTATCGGACTTGATTCTCATCTATTTTATTACCGGTTCTAAAATCTAAAGAACTACGTGTGATTCTTACCTTCCAACAACCATCATTTTTGGTCGATTTCGTAAAATTTGGTTGGTGCCTATCAGTGCCTAGTCTATAAAAAATCAAATTAATATTGTAAAAGATAAATATTTATCTTAAACTATAATGATTTGATGTCATTAATTATAAAATATATATGGATATATAGACTTTGAGCATTATTAGATCTAACTCTAAAAGTATATAT